TGAACTAAGTTGTGTTATTAATTACAGAACAGTGGAATGTAAAAAATAATGTTCCAGAGACGTTTATAATTATTTATGCAGCCAGTACTGGGACTAAACTGTTCTGATGGCTGCTCTTATTACTTCTACAATCAAATATATTGATACTTTGCAGTGAAATCATGCTGGGGGGGTGTTCTAAACATTACTCCATTAGAGATACATGTAGCAGTTACCATGGTGACGGAAAACAGTGTTAAGAAAAAAGTTCTGAGGTCTGAACACTTAAGAAAAAGTACAAAATGCATGTAAACAAAACACTTTCAGGAGCCTGTGATCAGTACAAGTGCTCATGGTCCGGTTTAGGTGTATGATTTTCTTGTGACTATAATTTTATGGGTGGTAGCCTTTTCGTAACCACGCAAATCATCTCGCCTGTTGTAGTTCCACCTAAGCCAGTTTTTTCTGGTTTAAATTGTGTTAAAATAAAGCTCAGATTTAGTCGAACAGTGATTAAGAGAGCTTTTAATAGAACAGTGCTTTCAGTTTAGCTTCACACCCCCAGTGAATGTTGATTTACATCAGCTACAAAATATAAATACAAATCTTCTACCTATGGGGATTATACCGTAGGGTGACCAGACATCCTTATTTACCCGGGACAGTCCCAGTTTTGAGTCCTGTGTCCTCTGTCCTAGCAGATTTATACAAAACCAGTGATTTGTCCCAGTTTTCTCTCCAGCAACTAGATCAGGAATTGGAATACACTAGATGGTTTGTAAGAACCCCAGATGATGTAGACCACGCACCAGCCAATCTGCGAAGAGCTGTGAAGCCATCACGTCAAACTCAAGTACCTGTCTGGGTCCTTTTTGTGGTACAGCACAACAGTAAACAAAGTGGTCGAGATTGTGTTGGCAACGATTCCCGAGATCGAGGATTTAAAGCCGGAACAAATACAAACTTCGTATTGTTTATTGCACCTTTAATTCGCAAGTTCACCTCGCAGAAACGACAATCATCACTGACTTTGTTTGCTGTTGTGCCGGCAATTACTTGGACACCACTGACCGTTCTGGGGCATTAACGTACGTCACAACCAAATAGCAGTGACTGGTTAAATAAAAAAGTGCCCGCCTACCGTTGACCAAACAAATCACAGTGCTGCAAGGTCAGACAGTTTCCATGAAGTGAAACTGGCTGATGAATCAGGCTACAAGAAATGTCCCAGGTGTCCCTATTTTTGACCAGTTTGATCTAAACCAGGACTAAACTAACCCTAAACCATGACTAAAACAGGACTATGACAATTTTTTGACTAATCTGATCACCACCAATAGTAAAGAGGAGCAGAAAACCATGTTTGCGAATGACCATAAAGCAAAAAAAAAAAAAAATGCGGCATCTGAAGCCCCTCAGATTATGACTGACACGAGAATGCACAATCTTCCATGCTCTTTTCATCATTTTGTTTAGACCAGACATCCCAACCCAGATGTGTCCCAGTTTTGAATTTTGAAAATCTGATCACCCTGTTATAGAAGATTAAATAAAATCTACAAACATAGGCTACATTTATTATCACGGTTGACAATGATAATCCTTTCTGTCAGTAGCAGCACTGCCTTTATGTTCTAGCGCAGAGAACATCAAAGTACATCTCATCCTATTCATTACGGAATCATATATGCCACAAAATCACCACCACACTAATGTATTTTTTGATTCAGATTGCTTAGTGGCTTAAAATAGTGCAGTTTTCATCAAGTAACACAGCTTTGGACAATAATCAGTTACAGTTGTATGTACCATTAAAAAAAGAAAAGAAAATGCTGAATGTCTCTCCCTCTTTGTCATCCTCATTTCAATCTGTCATGTTCAATTCAATCCAGTGGCATTTCGAGGATTAAAATGCTATAATATTTACTTTTTGTTGTTAATGGATTCTTTTTTCATCTTTCTAAAACCCATGAACAGACTAAAAAAAACGACTTTGAAACAAAATAATTACATCTTTGCAAATAGTAGTGGTATATTAGTGCACAGAAGACTAACGCAAGGGAACGTACCCATTATTTTACTTTTTAATCATGAGTATAGACAGCCCGTTCTTAAACCACACTAGAGAAATAGCCTGAATTAGCATCACTGTGAAACAAAAGACCAGCTTTGTCCCCATAGAGCAACATGTCTGTGATGGCAAGTGCTAACACAGCCAATTAACTGCACAATCTGCCTCTCTGCCTGGCTAATCCATCTCCCCCCACCTCAGCTTAAGCACTATTCTTAATAAAAGCACCTTCTCCATCTGCACCCCCTCCTGTTTAATCACACCGAGAACAGGTATATTTCAGCATTCGTCTTTTAAAGCTCTGTTTGTTGGGAGTAAGATGTTACGAGTAGCACATAATGGGAAAAGAGATGCAAAATGGAGGGAGAGATGAAAGAGAGGAAGGAGAGGAGAGGAGAGGGAGAGGTTGTGTTTGTGAGGGGCTGATACAGAAAGACAGGCTGTTGTGTTCAGTGGAGCCGCCAGCTGTTACTGAGAAACTGTGGTGTACCTGAAAAAATGCAGCGCACGTCAAAGGGTTATACGTTGAAATCTTTGGAGAGAAATAGAAAATGGCATAGAAACCTAATCTGTGTATCATTTGTTCATTTGTTTTTCAAAATAAAACCAAAAATAAGAAAATTGAAAAAAACTACAATTTTCTTCTTTATTTGTCTCCAAAACTTAAATGTATATAGTAAGAAAGCTTTCAGAAATATTCGTGTGCATAGGATTGAAATCGCTGCACACTTGGCTGTAGTTGAACATAAAATAAACATCCGTAAACTCTCCAATGAGTCCTATATTTTATCCATCAGAATACGAATTGAAAAGTTACAACATCAAGAATTACAAACACGAAATTAAAATTGCACGATTTACGCCTTCAGTATGAATATGAATTCACAAATGCAACTTTACTGTCAAAAATACATCATCACTTCACAGACATTATTTATTGAGCAGAAGAAACACTGATCAAGATGCCGTGGCATACGGACTGAACCAGGACTAAACCAGGACTAAAGCAGGAGGACTAAACCAGGACTAAACCAGAACTAAACCAGAACTAAACCAGGTCTAAACCAGGACTGCGTGTCCTTGAGGTGCGCACGCATAGAAAGGACCGGCACAGAGCTCCACGCCACACAGGGCTAAGTGCAGCCATCACCCGATCACGCTTTGCGGACACCCTGCTCTGTGGGCTCAGGGTTCTCCCTCTCTCTCTCAAGTCCAAGATTAGTCCGGGTTTAGTCCTGGTTTAGTCCTGGTTTAGTCCTGGTTTAGTCCTGCTTTAGTCCTGTTTTAAACCTGGCTTAGACCTGGTTTAGTCCTGGTTTAGTCCTGGTTTAGTCCTGGTTTAGACCTGGTTTAGACCTGGTTTAGACCTGGTTTAGACCTGGTTAAGTCCTGGTTCAGTCCATATGCGTCACAAAAGTCCGGCATTGCAGTTTAAGTCACAGAAACGGGAAACGGCCGTTATTTTTCCATTATTCATTTAAACACAAAATCGAAAACAAAACAAAAAAGAATCATTATCTGTTTTTTTCATTTTGGTTTTGGAGACAAATAATGACGAAAATTTTTGTTTTTTAATTTTCTTATTTTTGGTTTTATTTTGAAAAACTAATGAAAGAATGATACATGGATTAAATCGGAATTTATAACCCGTGCATCGTGTTTGTTTAAAATTGAAAAAAATAAATAAAATATGGAAAGAAAGAAAAAGAAATTACTAATTAATTTGGATATTCCCAATTTTGAGTATATTTTGTTGTGAAGGACAGCCCGCATGTTGACTATTAAACTGACTTTAGTTAAATTAGTTGAGTCTGAAAATCTCCCAGTGTTCCTTGTGTACACTGTGTTCTGTATTTATCTTTTTGGTATGTTATTATTTCTTTTCTAAGTATTAATTTGCTTGTATTTTCTCTCTCTCTCCATTTTTTTCATCACAACAAGTGTGAAAACAAAGTGTACTTTAACTTTAGTACTTGAACCATGTTTAAACTGTTTATTTAACCCCTGTTTGAAACTAGGTCACTTTTTGCACCTGGTATGAAAATGTTTCCACCACAAGGTCTAACATGCTCCTCTCTCTCTCTCTCTTTTTCTGCTTCCCTCTCTCACAACCTTCTCTCTCTCCCTCCTTCTCTTTCTCTCCCTCTCACACTCTCTCCCTTACTCCATCTTTTGCACACTCCCTTCCCCTCTCCCCTCCTCTTTTTCTGTCTCCTCTGTCGTTCACTCTCACTCTTTCCTTTCACTGTACCTCTCCCTCTCTCTTCCTCCCTCACTCCCTCTTTCTGTCCATCCTTCCTCCTTTTCTCTCCTTCCCTCACGTCTTCTTTCCCTTCCTTCTCTCTTTCTAACTCTCTCTGTGTCTCTCTTCCCCTTCTCCTCGCTTGTCTCTCTCTCTCCATATATCATTCTCTGTCTTAATCTCTCTCTCACTCTCCCTCTGTCTGTCCTTTTCACTCTTTTCTTCAACTGTATCTCCTCTCCTCTCTTCCTCCCTCTATCTTCCTCTCTGTGTCTTAATCTCTCTCTTTGTCTCTTCCTCTCTCTCTCTTCACCTCTCTTCCCCCCTTCCTCTTCCTCTCTGTCAATATCTCTCTCCTTCTCTTGCTCCTTCCCTCTCTCTCTCTCTCTCTCTTCCTCTCTGTGTTTTAATCTCTCTCTCTCCCTCTCTCTTTTCCCCTCTTCCTCTCTGCGTCTTAATTTCTCTCTCTCTGTCTCTTTCTCTCTCCTCTCTCTCCCTCCTTCTCTCTTCTCCTGTCTTCCTCTCTCTCTTCCTCTCTGTGTCTTAATCTCTCTCTCCTTCTCTCTCCTCTCTCTTCACCTCTCTTCCTCCCTTTCTCTTCCTCTCTGTGTTTTAATCTCTCTCTCCCTGTCTCTTTCTCCCTCCTTTCTGTGTCACTTTCTCACTTCCTTTCCCCCTCTTTCTTTCTCTCCTTCTCTCCGTCCACAGCGCGTACATCAACAGAGCCAGTGAATCATCCGAACAGGTGACGCTGATCGACTCGCTGCACTCCCCGGAAGGCCTCGCCGTCGACTGGGTCCACAAGAACATCTACTGGACCGACTCCGGCAACAAGAGCATCTCCGTGGCAACCGTCGACGGGCGAAAGAGGCGGGTCCTGATCGCCACAGAGCTGAGCGAGCCGAGGGCCATAGCCGTCGACCCCCAGCACGGGTGAGGGAGCAGAGGAGTGAAGAGAAAGTGGAGTTTTGATTTGAAAAAGTAGAGTGTGAAAGGCAGGCCATGACTAAAACATGACAGAAGTTGTATCGCTCAAATGATTGTAGAGACGAATTGGAGAAAGAATTTAAAAGAGCTTTTCCACGCTAAAGAAAGATGGAAATACGTGCTTTTGCAAGGCTCGAAATCCACAGTTATGCTGCATGTCACAGATTATAACAAGTACATCTGTTGTCATTTAAGAAAGAATTCCGTTCATACATCCCACTGAGATGTGAAGTGAATAGGCTGCTCTGAAAACTCACAACAACTTTATTGTCATCTGAGGTCAATTTGAGAGAACATCGTCAAAGATTTTCTCAAAGATAACATTAAAAAGGTATAAAAAATAACTCTCAGTTTAACCTGCTCAGTCCCAAAACACTACAAATAAAAGTAAACCCATAAAATAGCTATAAATACATAAAAAACAGAAAATAATATTCTGTATTTTTCAGACTATAAGGCGCAATGTAGAATGCTCCAAAGATGTTAGTGGCAACAATCAGTAATGTAGAATTCTCTTGTTTATTTTCATACCGGATTATAAGGCGCATTAAGCGAAACAAACAAACGACACTTGAGACTGATCCTTTAGCCCAGGCGTCCACGATCCCTCGGCAGATCGTGGCGTAACTCGCCGGGCGTTGCCTCTCTGTCTTGGTGAATGTGTATTACTCCGCAAGGTTCCTGATTACTGTAGCCGTAATGCTCTGACAATCCATCGCAGTAGAGCCCTGCACTCCTGCGGGACCTGACGCAAAACAGTGCGGCACGGGACACATTTTGAAAGCTCATTGCGGGCAGAAGCAGGACTGCAAAATGCGAAAGTGTAAAGTAAAATATACAAATGATTCATGTATGCCTATCATACATCATTTGTGCTGGATATTTTATTTGGCATTAATAAAAACATTTTAAGCAGCCTAAACTTACGGACATGATCTAATCTCGCACACATTTTAGACAATTCCTTTCCGCTTCTCCATGTTTGATAGAGATTAAGAAAGTGAACGGCCCCATCTTGCAAGCGGGAGTGGGACAGCACAATGCAGAGACGGACAGGAGCTGGACTGAACAGTCTGTCCCGCGCAGACCTCCACTTTGTAGTAGAGCCCTGAAAATGAACGTTGCAATCTTGCAGGATTTGCGGGTGGGGGTGGGACAAAATATTGTAGATGCGGGTGGGAGCGGGAATGAAAATGACAATTCTTTGCGGGAGCGGGACTGCAAAATGCAAGTGTATGCGGGAGCTGGAATAAAAATTCTGTCCCTCGCAGACCTCCATTTCGTAGCTTACCAAAGTCGTTCTAAAACATTTTGACAGATTTTTGAGCTCCGTGTACCACATAAAATCAGTCCAAGGTCAGTGCGCACAGAAGAAATACAAAAAGTGCACCGGATTATAAGACACACTGTCAATTTTTGAGATAATTAAAGGATTTTAAGTGCACCTTATAATCCAAAAAATATGTTCCATGTTTTGTTTTGTTTTTTACATTGAAATCTTTCTTATTTTTGAAGCAATCTGAATAACTTTGTGTAGAAATCATGCATGCCTTGCCTTGCTTTGTACAAATTTAAAAAGCCGATTTGAAGCAATAGATGTTTTAGATTCTTGTTATTCATTGCTGGAGATTGATTCATAAATATCTCATAGCAATTTTCTAATTACTAAAGTGACACATATTCATTGTTTACAAGAAAATAGTCTTATTGTGTTATGTTTTACAGTGATTGGAGACTCATGTATACAAGAAATCCAAGCCTTTCTTTACTAACGCTTGCATCAAGTGAATTAAAATACATAGAATAGTACTTTATGCGAGGTTTAAAGGTGCATTGTGTAACTTTTCCTCAAGAAGATGTCATTGCTTTGTCTGGAATTTTTCACAGTATGGCATTAAACCTTTCTATCTTCATGGAGACCAAACCAGATCGAGTTACAGGTCAGATCTGCGGAGAGGCGACCTCGCTCACGGTCACAATGCTTGTTTTTCTAGGTATTTTTGAGCTATAAAACCACCTGTAATAGAATAAATATAAGGTAGAGATGTTTAATGTCATACTGTGGAACATTCCAGGCAAAGCAATGACATATCCATAGAAATAAGCAGGTGATGGACTCCCAACCAAAAAAAAAACCTTTAAAAGAAGTGCACGTAGGCCTAATTCTCATGTGTTGTGATTGTGTTTGCACAGGTTCATGTACTGGTCGGACTGGGGAGATCACGCTAAAATCGAAAAAGCCGGGATGAACGGAGTGGACCGGCAGATTCTGGTGTCGCAGCACATCGAGTGGCCCAATGGCATCACGCTGGGTAAGGACACAACAAGGAAGGGCATCTGAGAATATAGAGCAAGGTTAAGTTTGTAGACCAAGTATTGTATAGAATGGTTTATCCTTGGAAAAGAGTCTGGGATGGCTGGGTTTGTGTGGGATCTATATGATTGATTGATTTGACTATTATGATGTAAAGGCATGTTCTGAAGGTCACATATGCTTCCACATTATTAAACATGTTCAGCTGTTCAAGTTTGTCCATGTGGTAGAGGAAGGTCAGTTCAACAATGCAGCTTGACTTGAATTTTAAAGAATAACGTTGGGGTAACTGGATTTACTGTAGATTTTGGATATGTTCACACTTGCACACACATCAAAATCCAGGTTAAACTAGGACTAAACTAAAATCAAACCCGAATTCAACCAAGACTGAATCAGGATTAGAACGAAACCTCCAAACAAATCTATATCAGGACTAAACTGGGCTCAAGCCAGGACTGAACCAGGGCAACTTGACTTTATTTGGTTCTAAATTAATCCATTCTAGGCCTGATGTGGCATGATCCTAGACTGTTTATATCATTGTTTCCCAAAGACTGGATCGTGACCCTCAGGTGGGCCGCAAAAGATTTTTGGGGGGGTTCGCCTTGTCTTGATCTGCATGTAGGTCTGCAATATACAGTTCTGACACATGAGAGAACGAATATATTATCATCATTCTGGATAAGCATTTTGTCAGAATATCCTGTCCTCAGTTGGGCCAGTTTTTCTATCTTTATTCCTTTCACTACTACATATATGTGTGAATTGGGATTTTTTGTGCTCACAAAAATGAAAATAAAGCACAGAAACAGACTGAATGCTGCACCTGATCTGCTGTTGTGCTCTCCTCCTGCACCTATCTCATTAGACGTATTGAAATGTTAAGACATGTTTTGTATCATTTCTAATCTTTTTTGTAATTATTATATTGACTATTTTGCTCCAGTATTGCTGGTTCAATTGAATGTTGAAAAGAAAAAGAAATGGGCTACATTTAATGTCCAAATAGGTGACGTGTGAATACCGTTTATTGCTGCTTCAATTAGATTTTCATTGTTTAAAACTTGAGTAATACTAATTGTTCAGAGACACGATCAGTCAGTCAACAATCAAATATCCTCATTAATGTTCAATAATGGTCAAATCCACCTTTATTTTGTGATTTAAGAATAATGTCTATTGACTTGGGTCACGAAGGTTTGTGACTTTTTAAATATGGGTCCCCAGAAAAAAAATATTGTAATATTGAGGCCGCTCTCTCTGGAACTGCTGCACTGAGCCTCATAATTATGGCCCATTCGTATTAACTCGCTCTATATGATCCTGGTGTTTTTTCAGCTATTTTGTCCGTAAAAAATTCCTATTCATAATATAGAGCCTTAGTCCACGTTAGAGGACTGGTCCTGTTCTACTCCTGTTTTAGTCATGATTTAGTTCAGTTTAGTTTTAGGTTAAGTCCATTTTTAGTCTCAATTTTGATGTGATGAACTTGTGAACATCAACATTCCCTGGGTGCGTGAAGCTACCTGTAGGCACTGTTCTGTCTGAAGCTCTGCTATTCAAGTTACACAAAAATTTGTGCTTTGTTTTAACACAATCTAACGAGAAAGAACTGACTTAGCTGGAACTGCAGCAAGTGAACTGATTTGTGCTGCTAATCATATCTCTTACACATAAAATTATAGTCACAAGAAGCTAGAATTACAGTTTAGAGTTTTTCTCTTAGGCACGGTCACCTTTTTGTTGAAAATCAAACACCTAAAACAGGATCGTGAACACTTATATTGATCACAGGTTCCTGAAAATGTAAATCCATTTTGTATTTTTTTCAGACCACCATAAAAAAAACATTCTTGATTATTTGCTAATGTGTGCTTCGTGTCAACATAATTGCTGAACATTCCACTAAATAGAGATACATGTAGAACACCCCCAGCATAATGTCACTGCGAGGTGTCAGTATGACTCTCATCACAATGTACTACCAATACCGTGTAATTCAGAGTCCAGGAAGTCCAGTTTGAGGAAAGTTTTAGACAAAGTTACAATGTTCTTCTGGACAGAGACAGAAATTTCAATGAATACAAAGCAGTGAGTGAGCAGAGAAAAGACAAAAGGCATTATGAGGGGGTAAAAAGCCAACTCCCAGTGCAACAATCGCAGAGTGCCTCTTATTGTCATAGCTCCACTGGCTCTCATCAATCAAGCTGGCCAACACAGACGCCAAATTAATACGCCAGACGCCCTGTGCCATCAATACCTCCCATCATGCTTTGCAACTCTCTCCGCCACACACAAGCCAATTTCCGCGCACTGCCCTTGCCCCGAGGAGAACCAAAGTGCGGCGCCACTCAAGGCAGTGGAGGATTCGCACATCTGTATGAAAACAAATTATTTTTTGGAGGAAGGCGAATGAGAGACGTGGCCTGGTTTAGACTTAAGGCGACAGCGGAGAGAGAGAGGGGGAGAGGAGTTGTTTTTCTCATATTGATTTCACCCGGGCCAGCTGATTGAGGGGGCACTTATGTGTAAAACTACTGCGCTCTGTCTATGAGGTGGATTAGAGGCAACTGTAGTGTGTGGTTTCATTCATGCAGGCTCCATTTAAAGTTAGGAAAGAGTGACATGAAGCCTGGCAAAAGTGTGGTAATCAAAACAAATAGACAAAAAATAAAGAAAAAGAAGCTCTAAAACTATTTTAGAAAGTTGAGAGACGTATGAAGATGGACTTTAGATTACCATCATCTAAAATGCATGGGCAAGACGCTTAAATTAAGTTTATGGAGAAGTTATGGGCAGGTAGTTCAGCACTACAAATCATTTTCAACAATAAACAACAGAAAATACTGACGATAAAATATATGATATATATGATAAAAACGCTATAATTGAAATGGTTATAGTTTAGAAGGGTCCAATAGTCATAAGTTTGTCAGCTGTACTTGTTTTTTTACAGTTGTGTGTGAAAAACAGAACCTTTCATTTAAAAATGGTTTAAGTTAAGTCTTAAGTTATTCCTCAATTACTTTATGATTTCAGAACATCTTAATTATTCACTCTAATGAGTTTCTAAGCTCTTTTCACAACTTTCAGAGACAGAGCCATAATAAAGCTAACAACAACTAGCATGTTAACCTCACACCTCCTGATAATTGAACAGTAAAAGTAGATGCTGATAATACACATGTGATTTAGTTTGATCCCAAGAGCTGCTTATATAATTTATTTGGCGTTTAAAGCATGGGTCCCCAACACTCGAGCCGTGGACCGGTACCAGTGTCTTCTCGCATACACTGCGTGGACCGTGTCTTCTCACATACTCCGCGTGGACCGTGCCTCTTCTTGTACACCACACCGGCCACCCCTCCAAACCAGAACTAAAACCATATCTAAACCAGGACTAAAACCAGAACTAAAACCAGAACTAAAACCAGGTCTAACAAGAACTAAACCAGGTCTAAACCAGGACTAAACCCAGGACTAAAGCCAGGACTACAGCCAGGACTAAACCAGGATTAAACCAGGATTAAACCCCTCCCCATCCATGAAATGACTTCAGACAAAAAAAACGGTCCGTGGCACAAAAAAGGTTGTGGACCACTGCTTTAAATGCCTATATTACACTATTTTCTGATCTATAGTATGTTGTTTCCTCATCAAAAACATATCTAGAGCTGTGTTTTGTTTCATTCACACATGTTTAACACACAAACTCATACTCTCTCAAACCTTGTGATGTCATGTGGTAATACAAGACAGGATGGAACAGAACATTTTGAGCTTTGGAGACGTAGACAGACTAATAATAAAGGATTACTCAAATATATGTGAATGAAACAAAACACAACTCCAGGTATGTTATGGCATGTATGTATTATAACGTGGCTTAAAGCTCACAAGAGATGATTTTACATAATATAGGGCCTTTTAATAGTGGTTTGTGTGTATCCAAGCTGTATTAATCAAAATGCTATCTGACCAATGACTCTTTTCTATTAAGCAAAACAATGAAAGTTAACAAAATACACCTCAGAGTTCGCAGATATTGAACTGAAATGCATAATTCAATCGGGCTTTAAAGGTCAGTGTAACAGAACGGGATTGAAACACAGTTAAGTTTCCCCTGCGCTAAAACTAATCAATTCGCCAGAGGCCACATATCTCCACGGTAACGGAGTCAAACGGCAACCCACTCTCACATGTGTTAGCTCAGAGCATGCCACAAACCCCTGTCAGGAAAGATTGATGATTTAGCTCCTGGCCCATGTATTCATACAGCCCTCACCCCAGGCTTTTCTCTGGCTGTGACCTCCTCTTCTGGTGCTTTACACATGTCCCTCTTGTCCACTACACTTTTGCTCGATTTTCTTTTCATTTTCTTGGTTTTGCTGACTTGATCCGCTCTGCTTTTCTTTCCCAGACTTGTCCAACAGGCGTCTGTACTGGGTGGACTCCAAGCTGCACCTGCTGTCCAGTGTGGATCTGAACGGAGACAATCGCAAAGTGCTGTTATCCTCCACCGACCATCTGGGACACCCCTTTGCTCTCACTGTTTTTGAGGTACTTAAAATATTATATTACCTAGAGTTAAAATCAGAAGCTGATCCAGTGTTCTTGAACTACCTGCTGTTGCCAAAAATCGCAAAGAATGGCCCAGGAAAATCCCAGTAAACCTATTTATAAATATACAGTATCATTAAAACATGGCAGAATGAATCAATAATTATCCATAGAAGTTATTTATTCTACCCTGTACATCTCAAATCTTATTGTATTACATAAAAATGGTTAAAAACTCCCCACTATTGCAAAGAAAATGTACACACGATAAATATTGACCCCCAAAATGTTGTTCCAGTTTTCATATATTGAGTCATATAGTAATTATCATGACAGACCTACTAAATACTGATTCGGTTTAAAGGGACAGTCCTGTATTTTGGACATAGGGCCTCATTTCCTAGTGAGCCAGAGTGTTGGACACGTGTGGAGACACTTTTTTAAATATTCCATCCAGTTCTTGTATTTGCAGAGGTCGCTGATGCTACGCTAGTGCATGTCAATGGCCATAGTTAGCCTGCCGCTAAAAACAGTCTTCCCCACTCCACAAAACAGCCGAAGCAAATCTATTATTACACCAGACTGTCCATGTAAAGGTCTGTGTTGATAGAATACTGTTTAAAATAAAACTAATCCTGCATCACATGAATCGTTGCATGTTGTTGGACTATTTTCTCAACAACAGCAGAATTTTACTTTGCCAGTAAAATAGGTCCTAGGTGATATCAATCCGCCGCTGCCAAACTTTCTATCAGGAAGTACAATTCACTGCTGCGGCCGGTTTTACTTCTAAAATTATTCTATCAACACAGACATTCACATCGACAGTCTGGTGTAATAATAGATTTGCTTCGAGTGTTTTGTGGAGGGGGTAAGGCTGTGTTTAACAGGTTAACTATGGCCATTGACATGCAAGTCTTTGTTTTGCAAGTCTGAAGTAAGTCTCAAGTCTTTGACCTTAAGTCCAAGTCGCGTCTCGAGTCACTGGCCCATAAGTCCAAGTCAAGTCCAAGTCGTCTGCTTTGAGCTTCAAGTCATTTCAAGTCTTTAAACCAAAGTACAAAATATAGCTTAGATTTTTGCTGTTTATGTGAATTTAAAGGTAAATTGTTCTTTAAAAAAAAATCACACTTGTAGAGTATATAAGAGTTGAAAAAAAATATTTAGTTAAGTTTTCCTTTTTAAATCAACATGACATGACAAGATCTTAGTGTGAATCATTATGGTCAGAATAGAAAGAATTCTGATTCAAAAGTGCTTCTCAAGTCCCAAGTCACTGACCTTCAAGTCCAAGTCAAGTCCCAAGTCTCAGTCCACTCAAGTCCCCACCTCTGCTCCACACATCTCCAACACTCTGGCTAACTAGGAAATGAGGTCCTATGTCCACAATTCCAGACTGTCCCTTCAAACAAATGAAATTAACTTTAATATAGTTAGTTTCAAACCTCATTTCTAATTCTGTTGGAGCTTTACTCCATACTGTGAAACATTCCAGACAAAGCAATAACATCTCCAGGGAGAAAAGCATTTGACAGACCCTCCACCAGAAAAGTTACACATTGCACCTTTAAGCATCCTCTCGGTCTAGGGAGCAGATTTGTAGCTTGTCTTGTCTCTTTCACACGAGCATGCAATTAGCGAAAACATTTTTAGTTGCCGGCCAGACATTTTTATTGGCAGTTTTAAAATTGTATAAGCTGGACCTGGACTCTCCTGCCAGTTTGAAACATCCAGAGCGCATTTATTGCACCTTCTAATTGTTGTTTTAATAATTAATGATCAGCAATTTACTGTTTCAATTTAGCAAAGGAAAATAAACTTAAACTGGCGACTTCTAAGCATTTAAATGTGCAAACCTTAGTCCATTTCCTCCATAATGTAGTATTTATTCACAGGACAAACTAGGCATGCCACAAAGGAACTAAATAAGAAATGGTGTTGAGTTATACTTCTATAAATTATACAATGTTTTCCACCGTTGTTTACTTCGAGTAATTTCTCTGCCTGATTCCACACCACTACCTCCCAGTTGTATAAAAGCCTGAAGCCTGAGGGGGTAAAAAGTTGATATTTATATTGAAAACCAGAAATGTGTGTCTGTAATGAGTACAGATAGTAGGAGTTGTGTTTTGTTTCATTCACACATGTTTAACACACAAACCTGCATATTTAGGTCTTCTCTCAAACATGTGGTTATACAGGAAGCTCTCCGTTGTGTTTTTAGAATCAACACACCTTCACTAGAATCATTTGGATCATTTCAGCCAGGGAATCTCCAATCTCTACCAAAATAAAGGTGAAAGGAGCTGTTCGCTTCAAACTATTACTTTGTGTGACCTCATAAAGTACAACAGAGCATTTTGAGCTTTGGGGATGTAGACAGACTAATAATAAAAGGTTACTTAAACGTGTGAAGGAAACAATCCGTGTATCATTCGTTCATTTTCGTTTTTCAAAAAAAAAAAACATAAAATAAGAAAACAATAAAAAACAACTTTTTTTTTCTTTTTTATTTGTCTCCAAAACCAAAATGATGGATAGGGACTGAGACCGGGACTGACACCGGGACTGACACCGGGACTGACACCGGGACTGACACCGGGACTGACACCGGGACTGACACCGGGACTGACACCGGGACTGACACCGGTTTAGTCCTGTTTTAGTCCTGTTTTAGTCCTGATTCATTTCTGTTTTAGTCCTGCTTTAGTCCTGCTTTAGTCCTGCTTTAGTCTTGTTTTAGTCTTGTTTTAGTCCTGTTTTAGTCCTTTTTTAGTCCTGGTTCAGTCCTGGTTTAGTCCTGGTTCAGTCCTGGTTCAGTCCGTGTACGGCACAAAAGTCCGGCATCACAGTTTAAGTCACGGAAATGGGAAACGGCCATTATCCGTTTTCTGTTTTTCATTTAAACACTAAATCGAAAACTGAAAAAACAAATCATTATGCGTTTTTTTTATTTTTTTATTTTGGTTTTGGGGACAAATGATAAAGAAAAGAGTTGATTTTTCATTTTCTTATTTTTGGTTTTATATTAAAAATGAATGAACGAATGATACACGGATTTGAAACAAAACACAGCTGCAACTGTATTTTTGATGAGGTAACAACATTATAGGACGGCGCAAAGCTCACAAGTGTCTATTTTGTGTAATACAGGTCCTTTAAATGTCACTGATAATAAATTCGGATTGAGACTGAACCAAGATTGTTCAATATGAGGGACAAAATATGTGATTAATTTTTTGGCATATCGCCCGGCCATAGTCCATAGTTCCAACCACTGCCATTTCATTCACATTACATTATTCACTGGTGCAAGAGAAGCCAGTGGTTAGAGCTAATCCGAGCTGATACGGAGCAGGTTGTGGAGGAGCGGCCTGTAAAGTGTGATCAGTCGACTCTCCTCTCTCCTCGGCTGGAGCTGTGTGACGGAGGGAAGTGAACACACAGGGCCCATCCATCATGTAGCCTTGTGCGCATGAGTAATGTGGGCGGGTATTCACATTGTAGAAACAGAAATCTGAAATCTTCACGATAAAATTCTAGCTTCTTAAAGGGCCCATGTTACAATATTTTCTGATCTATGTTATAATGTTGTTTCCTCATCACAAATATGCCTGGAGTTGTGTTTTGTTTCATCCACACAGGTTGAGGCAGAAAATACCATACACCTTCACTAGTATCATTTGGATAGTTTTAGACCTGGAATTGCCGATTTTTCTCTGAACTAAAGGTAAAAGGCAGCTGACATAGACAGACAGATGACATCACAAGGTTGAACAGTATTTTGAACTTTGGAGATGTAAACAGACTAATAATCCAAGATTACTCAAACATGTGTGAATGAAATAAAACACAACTCGGGGTATGTTTCTGATGAGGTAACAGCATTCTAACATGACTTAAAGCTCACATGAGTCAATTTAGTAATATAGGACCTTCCTATGCTGTGAAAAAGACCTTAGCTCGCCAGAGTGTGAAACTGAGAAAAATGACTTCAAAGTTTCTGTTTTGTCTAGACAAAAGTATAATAGGGCTCCCAAAATTTGACTAGTTGATATAATGAAGAAATATTTATATGTGAAAAATATTGAGCTCAAAATTGACCCTGATTTCCTGTACTCTGCTTTTGTATCATGAGCCAATAATAAGGAGTCGTGTAAAGACAAAAGGCAGAAACTGACATTATTATTATTTGCTTGATTTTCACCAGACTTCCATTCGTTATAAGAACACTTCACCAAAGTCGAGTCATCATGATTTTTGTTTTAAATGATGTAAAAGAGCTTTGGATTTCCTGTTTAGTGTTGATCAGGATCGTGCGGCGACACTTCCACAGTTAAATAGTTTGACAGACAAGTTACTTTGCAGTATAGTATGTACAGTATGAATAAATACATGAAATACTCTCACATTTAAGATAATTTAAGTATAATTGAATACAAAAGTATATTTATTGAATGTGTTAAGACGCTGTTTCAAGGCCGCAACAAAAAGGAGGAGGCGAGAGGTTGAATTTGAAAATAAAATATATTTATGAACTAAATCCCAAATAAACCATACACTGTTACTGCCTTTTGCCTTTGCACGACTCCTTATTTTTGGCACTTGGTACAAAAGCAGAGTACAGTGCTGCCAAATAAGGGTCAAAGGTCAATTTTGAGCTCAATATTTTTCACAATATTTATTCACATGATAAAGGAGGTCTCAAATACAAACAAAATGACAGTAACTCATTTTTGACCAAAAATAATGTTACGGCTTTCTGCCTTTGTAGGGTAATATAAAATGTTATGATACCTTCCAAACCTAGCAATACACACTCATCATGATCACCTGCTTTTCTTATATTATCCTTATATTATTTTATTCTTAGATCTACAACATGATTTGAAGTTCAGTTGTGGGCTTACAGTTCAGATTTAGGATTTTAACATTGGACCAAGTAGTAACAATGTCTAGGATCAGTTTCCAGGAAATTATAGTACCCCCCGAAACGGATG